GAAAACTTAGCTCTAGAGGTGATTGTTCGTGGGATGGAAATGGCTTGGGATCTCCCAATTGTCTGTATTTACAGTAAAGTTTATGAGATTATGCCATATTTGATATAGGCACCTTTACACAGTTTTAACTCCACCTGTGCTCAGCAGAGTCAATTTTGGCATGGTTTCTGACAGGTTATAGTTGTAACTCTATGTAGACAAGGCTTTTAGTCATCCTACTGGCACCAAAGCAGAACCAGGCTTCAAAACTGAGGTATTTCCAACCCCAGGAAAATGAGACATTTTCTATAATGGTGTCAAATGAGCCACAGTAGTAAGTGTTAAATTGTGAAATCATTCCACTCCCTCTAGTGGTGTTAAGTTGTCCTTTCCCTGTGGACTGGGTCATGAAGGGTCATTTGGTAGAGCAAAGTCTAGCACAGTGGTTTTCAACCTGTGGTCAACAGACCCCTGAGGGTCTAAGGGGTCTGCAGAAGATGACAATGATCAATCAAAAGTTTGTGAATACACAGTTACAATTCAAAGGAGCCTGCACCTCCATTCAAAATTGTTTAGGGGTCCACAAATGAAAAAGGTTGAAAACCACTGGTCTAGCACACTTTTTGCTTCAGTGTGTGTTGAACTTGTGTTACCTCATGCACCTCAGAGTTGGGTGTGGAGATTTTTGGCACCTGTTGTTAAAAACAGGCTAATTTTCCTAATGTGGTTGAATTTCCTCTTGTATTAATGAAATGCTGTAAAATCTCTACGCTCCCACTTTGCAAATAAGCTGGAGGGATAGTAGGATAAACATGGTTTGGGGATGTGTCCAGCAGGGTTCAGATGTAGGCTGTTTTTTCCAGCACCACTTAGCTTGTCTGGGGTGACTGAATCCTGCCAGCTGTTCCAAAGCCAGAGGTTCAGGTGTAGGTTCCAGCCCGACTGGAGCAGAAGACAAAAAAGTCTCTTGTTGCTCTTACTGTCCTGCCTGCGTCTCGGCAGCAGTTTATAACCCAGCCAGTGTAGTACTATCTCCGTCTAGCTGGGAGTTACTTAGGCATACCTAGTCTTGTTTGGCATGTGTGTAATCAGTCTTCTCACCCTTGTTTACCTGAACCTTACTTTGTGCAGTCCTAGGAAATGTTCAGAAGGTGGCGTTGTTACGACAGCCTGGATCTTGAATGGAATTACATCACAAAAAAAGTCACTGTTTTGAAACACAAATGAGTAGTAAAGCAGTTGCATCTCTTCTCCCCTTCCTGCATCAGCCTGGATTTAAAACTGAGTGCATTGATGGTTTTGATGTAAAACTAGCTGTGGGCATAGCAGTAACTTACACTGTATGGCAAAACACTACAGGATGCAGCTTATACCAGAAGAGCTACATTTTTCCCTGTGGCTGAAAATAGCTGTATCAGCATAGGTGTGTTGTTGGTATAACTGCCTACGTAAGGGCCTGTTGGCTGGAGAGCATGCTCCTGACCAACATAGTGTTACCAGAAAAATTCTTACCTGGTTTAAGGCCTGACAACAAGCTGCTTGTTTCAGTTTTCATGACGCATCCATCAGCCAGCTCCAGGGAAAGTACAAAAAACGTAACCACATGTTTTCTGTCCACAGAGCAACGTGGGGGTACAGTGACCTGAGCAGACTGAATGGATGGTATATCACCCATCCTCTCTGCTGGTCAGTGGTATTTGTAAGGGAATAGGCAGGAGGTCTGTTAGCATTAGGTTTGGATGGAGTAGTCATGAAATGCAGCCAGGCTTTCCAAGTGCAGCTCAGCAACCAGTAATTCAATTCTTACTTGTTCACATGAAGATTTTTATAGCAGCAGGTTGCCAGTTGATAGACGTTCTTGTCTGCTTTTCATTTCTCTTTTCCAAGGCAGACATTGAGCTGAAGAATGACTAGGGAGCAAACCCTATTCCTTCATCCTTTGGTATTTTTCTCTATTTGCTACCTTCCAGGCAGCAGGATACATAGGTCACTTCACTGAACCTCCTGCACTCTGAAGTGCAGCAACAGTCTGAGCTCTTTCCAGACAGTATTGCTCCAGTGGCCAAGCCTCATAAAGCCTGGGAAGCAAAGCTAAAGATTTGTTGCATTCCACAGACTTGGGAAGAAAAATCTGAACAATATCTGCCAACAGCTTTTGCAGATTTATCTTGGCCCAGCCATTATCCACTATGTTAACAGCAAAAAATATGGAACGGTTACTTGGAAAATCAATTTTATACAGCATGTGAAGCACCTCAGCAATGTTCTGCAAGAAATGGCAGCATGCCCTGCAGTCTGCCACCGCTCTTTTTTTCTCTGCAGTTTTCCTCTGGTCCTGGCTGTCTCCTGCTTCAGGTACCACACCAGCAGCAGCGGCAAGGCTATTAGGATATTAAAACAGTTTGTGTGTTTTTCCAAGCATCTAATACACACTGTGCTTCCTTGAATTCAGGGGGAGGAGAATGTGCAACTCTGCAAAAATCATGGGTTTTGTTTGGCTCCTAAATTGCTGTCAGCTGCAGAGTTTTTAGGTTTTTTTTCCCGTCTGACACTTCACTGTTTGTTTTTCATTCTCCTGGGGTAGAAGAACATTAACTTGAGTCCTATTATGTCCCTGTCATGACTAGACCATCGTCTCATTTGTTGTGAAGCAGAGGATTAGTGTTTTAATTGAACACACAGTGGCTCTGTATTGCTCCTCTGTTCTGGTGCATTTCCGCTTTGCCGTAACTTTGTTTCAAAGCCTCTGGTGCTGAGCTTCAGATTTCACACATGGCTTGCTCTGTGTAGACTCCAGCGGTTGAGCTGGTGCACATCTCTGTTTCTAATGCTTATTTTCTACTTTGCAAACTAGTGTTAGGACTTCCACTATACTGAATTAATCTTGTCTCATTTGGAAGTAACTGACTTCATATGTGGAGCTCAGAACTCCTTGCCTTGTCGAATGTCGTTGTCGCTGATGTAACTGTCACTCATTTGCCAACTAGACAGTGTTGAGGGAAAACTATCTGATGGATCTTACTGACAGACTTGGGTCTTGAGTAGCTCACAAGTGTCCACTGGAGGGCAGCACAGACTGTCCGAGGCAGCCAGGACCAGAACTGAGCAGGCCTAGCTGCCTTGTAACGTTCATCCTACACTTAAGGGTGCTGCTATGTCTGGGGTGGGCAAAATGCTGGTTTCAGCGCATGGCCAGACTCCATTTCCCGGCAGCAGCAGCTCCTTCTGGCTGCTGCTGCTAGACTCAACCCCCCTCCCAGGCCACCCCAGCCTGACTGCCCCACACCTGTTACCAGGGGCAGGAGCCATGCGAGCAGGGTGCACAGCCAAGTGGTTGGGATGGGACCACAGTCCAACGTGGAATGGTGGGTGCATAGGCAGGGGTTGGGATGGGGCTGCAGTTCAGTGGGGAGCAGCACCTGAAAGTGAGATGGGTGGGCAAGGCCAGGGAAACCCTAGGATCTTGGGACAGTGACAGCATGGGGCTGGGGCAGAGTTGTGATGTGCTCTCTGCATGTCGCTGCCTACAGAACCAGGACTCTGCCCCAGCCCTGCACTGTCACGGCCTTGTGATCCTGGGGTCTCCATGGAGACCAGCTGGGAGCCATGTGGGCAAGGTGTGTGGCCGGGCAGGAAGGTGCATCTAGCACCAGAATTTTGGGGTGGTGATGGCACAGGGCTGGGGTTGGGATGGAGCCACGATCTGCTTCCTGCATGCCCCTGCCTGCAGATCCCATGCCTGTCACAGGGGTGTGCAGGCAGCAGATAGTGGCTCTGCCCTGGTCCTGGCCATAGCTCTACATTGTCACTGCCCCAAGGTCTTCCCAACCTTGCTCCTGGATACTGCACCCTGCTGGCCTGGGGTGTCGTCCCAGCCACGCGCCCTGCCTGTGCGTGTCCCACCCCGGTGATGGGTGCAGGGCGGATGGGCCAGGGTGCCTGGGCAGCAAGACTGGGTCTGGCAGAGGCAGCCAGAAGGAGCTGCTGCTGCTGGGAAATATGCTTACAGGCCATATTTTGCCCACCCCTGTGCTATGTCCTTTATTTTGTTAGACTGACAAGTATTGTGTGTTAAACGTTTAGGGTAAAGAAGGTAGTGGAGTTTGCGTAGGTCATGAAATGTAAAAAGACTATAGTGCTCTGAATTAGGTGATGGGATCAGTGAGGCAAGAGTAAATCTCAAATAAGGCTTATGAGATTGTGAAAAGGAAAAAAATACAATAGTTGAATTACAGCTGTTCGGGTTCCAATGAAGGGACTTAAAAAGTCTTCAGACAATAGTGGGTCGTGTCTTGTACTTTGTTTGTAAATGGATAGTTCTGTCGTTAGGTTGCATCAGCCGTGGAGAAGTGGAAGGCAGCCATTCGCGAGGCTCAGACCTTTTCCCGTATGCATGTGCTGCTTGGGATGCTGGATGCCTGTATCAAGTGGGATATGTCTGCAGAGAACGCCAGATGCAAAGTGTGTCGCAAGAAAGGTGAGTATCCTGGCCCCATATCGTGCCTAGCAGTTGGAAGTTCTGCTGTCTCTGCTTATGCAGAAGGACAGCGTTTTAATTATTATCAAGTGCTACAGTTGACTCTGCTTTAATTCTGAATATTAGGGCACAAACACTGAAAAACACAGATCTCCCAAGAGCATTTAAGACTTTTTTCATTTAGGGTTGGTTTAGGAGCTGTACTGGAGAGCTCCTCTTTTGAACGTCTCATGGACACAAACCCTTGACACACAAATGTCTCTTTATAATAATTAACCCTCCTGGGCAGAGTTCTGTGTGGACTTAGTGCTGTCCTACAAAACCTGGGATTCATCACAAACACCAGCAAGAATTCACTAAAATGTTAGTGATTGGAGGAGCTTGTCGTATTCCTATATCCTCTGTGCAGCAACTTTAGGCTGCACTAGTGGTGGAGCTATTGCATGCTAGATGCCCTTGTACATATTAGTGTCCTTCCATCTGTTCAAAGGAGACTGTCTGAAAATGATTCTTTGTCTTTATTCGTACCAAGCACATTTCTGAGTTGGAATTTTCCCTGGGTCTGTGAAACTTGGGAGTTAAGCCTATCTCTTGTGTAGGGAAGCAAGAAGAGGGCTGGAGAGGTTAATGCTCCTTTGTGACTGAAGGGGAGAGAGCAAAGTGGGATTATGCCAAGTAAGATTATTCATGCCTGTCCTGTCTGCTGTAGTGGGGTAGAAGAGCTGGGAGAAGGCATCTCCTTGCTGCTGTTTTTCACATGAGAGTGCAAAAGAGGTGACGCAATGTGCCCTCTGCTACTACTTTTAACAGGGTTGGGGAGGAAATCAACTAGGGCCACTAGTGTCCACCTTGCATATAGAGGAAGACATGTACCTAGGGTGGTCCCTAGTTTGTGGGGAAGGGGAGGGATCACCTACCACCAGGAGTCACCCTTCCACAATGTGTGGAAGACCAGCAGCCACTCTCCTCTTACCTCCCTGAGAGAAAAGTTTGATAGCATGTACTGTCTCACCATAACTCTTGTTTCAGTCTGCATCTGTATACAGAACAAGCTGAGCTCCAGAGACGTGAGCAGGAAGCAGGAACAGGGAGAGCTTTGTTTTCTGGACAGACTTGGTGCTTTTTCTTATTTGCCAGAGGGCTGTGCTCATGGTCTTTGCGCATGCAAGACTGGCTTTGAGAACTAAGTTAAGAGGAGGCTTACTTGGCGTGTTAGCAGGGATGAGAGGCAACTAGATGAGATGACCTGTTAAACAGCTGCAGTGCCTTCCTGCATTGCAAGGGCTCTCCCAAGGCAATGGAAAAGTTCCTTGGTCCCTCTCTGGCAGAAGGAGCCTAAGCTGAGTGAAGCTAAGTTCCAGCAGGCAGGAAACTCCTTGTATCCTAAATATTGATGTTTGCAATGAAGCAGCAGAACTGTGGTACAATGGCAATGTTGCGAGGGGGCGTTGTCACCTTCTACCTTTGTCTCTGTGTCTGTTCTTATGGTAGTTACTGCAGCTGCAGGTGTCTGGGACAGTGGTACTGACCTTCATGCATGGGCTCTCTTTTCCTAGGTGAAGATGACAAGCTGATCCTATGTGATGAGTGCAATAAAGCCTTCCACCTGTTTTGCCTGAGACCAGCACTCTATGAGATACCAGATGGCGAGTGGCAGTGCCCAGCGTGCCAGCCCTCTACTGCCAGGCGCAGCTCTCGGGGCAGGTGAGAGACCCTCCTTTTCTTTGAGTGCTGTAGCTGGAGCAGAATTGTAAAGAGGCCCTGAGAACTGGGGCCTCTTTTCATGAAGAGACCAAAGCGCCCTTAATCAGTAACTGCTTTTAGAGGAGTGGAATACCCAGATTACCTGATGGCACTTGAACAATAGGAGAGCAATTTTTTCAGGCTGCTCTTACATTGGAGCACCTGTGTTGTACTGACCCGTGATACTTTGAGGGGATTAAATAAATAACTTCACTGTGGCAGTAAAAAAAAAAAAAAAAAATACAGGCTCTCTGCATTAAGTAAGGGCTGCAGTTAAAGTGGTGAAAATCATTTGGCACTAAATACATCCTTGCTGCCTTCCACTGGAGACGAGTTACCAGCATTTCCCCTTTTACTGGACTAGCAGCCAATCTGGGACATTTAATCTGCATTTTCTTACTAAACACAGAAGGTTGAGTACAGTTTCTCGTCGATGTATGTAAAGCCTCCTGGCCAGCAGCACCTTATTGCTTACCTTGGAAGCTATGGCAACAATCCTCTGGGGGCTTGTACTGTAGTGAATGTCATTTGGGAGGAATCTAAGCTCTACCAAGCAATGTCTATCAGCCACTGGACTCCAAATGCAGCTGCTGGACCCTGCGTAGAACAGTGTTTCGTTCCAGTCTTGTTAGGAACTGGGGGCTGGGCATAAGGGCACTTTAAAATGGATTTCACTCCACCATCATAGGAGTATGTCATCTTCTAATCATGGCCATTTCTAGCATTCACACTTATGCCAGGAGCATGAATATTTAGACATCCTCCCTTTCAGGGTGGTGATGCAACAGTAAGTATATTAGACTTGCCTGCAGGTGGTATATGGCCCTAAAAGTATTAATTACTCTTTGGGCACTGCCTAAAAGGAGTTTATCAGGCTAGTTCTGAAAGGGCAGGGCTTTAACACAGCTGTTCTAGTCTAAGATCACAGTTACTTTGATGTGGCAGAGTCATCTGCAAGCTGCTGGGTTGCTGGATGAGAGCCATCAGGTGGAGTAACACCTGTCTTATCTATTTTCTACTTTATTATTCTCAGCTGGAACAGGAGAAGAAAAACACTGGTCTTGGAACAAACTTCCAGCTCTTCCAATGTTGCAAAAACTTAAATCTTTTATCCATTTAATGAATGTTTTGGATTTTACTTGTACCATTCAGAAAATTTAAAATTGTAGCTCCCACAGCCACCAAGTCTGCACAGATGCTGTAAAGGCATTAATGTAGTGTTTGTTTGTGGCTGGAATTAACATGTTACGTGAACAGGACTCCCTATAGAGCATGTGAAAGTGGTGCCACAGTGGGAGGGAGTGGGAAGGGGCTGCAACAACAATCTTCTCCCAAAAACTTTTTATGATGCTTTTTTTTAATTGTAGCTTTTCTGATCTGAGAGCCTGGCTATTCAGTGCCCTTATCCTTCTCACCCCATTACTTCTTGAAATTTCATTCCCTATTACATCTTGTATCCCAACAAATTGAGAGAGATTCAAAGAAGGGCTGTCTGGCTAGGTGTTTAGAAAGACTAATAAGGCTGTCTCAGGTAGAATGAGTAGACTGTAACTATTTCTGATATTCAACAGCAGTATTTTACATGCATAAAATGTGTACATATTTCCTCAGCATAAAGCACTTGTCCACCTCAAGGACCAGCAGCAGCAAATGAGAAGAGTTAAATTCATTTCAGTTGCGCACGTGCCTGCGATTACTATGGAACAACAAAAGCAGCATTTTGCCATATAAG